TAAATACAATAAGAATCATTAAACTTCTAAAAGTATACCCATTTAAACAATAATTATCAGTACTAGTTTAGAATAATGGTAAAAGTTGACCAATGGTATGTGGTATCCTTGGTTATACGTCAAAAAGTTAAGCTAACTTATTATCAATTTTCAAGGCTTTGTTTTCGGCAATTAACATGGTTGACATTTTGTGAATTAATTAAATTAAATAATTAGAGGTAAATATGATATTTGAAACATCAGGGAGTGTCATTATCAAAAAAATCATTAACCAGCATCTCAGTTGCATTGATCAAAATTTCAGGGGGTGTCGGTGTAATTTTTAGGAAAGATAATGATAAGCGATAGAAAATTTGATGCATTCAACTGTTTGGAAGTAATTATGCTAAGATGACATCATCCTTTAATTTTTTATTATTACTTTATTTTAGGAAGCCTCAAGAATATGCTAAATCAATATGAGAAATATAAATATTTGACTAATATAAGAACTAAAATACTTGTATTTTGAAAGTAATGTATGAAAATTATACCCATTGACTTCATAAAATTTTTTTTTTTGTACATATTACATACATCTTAGGTAAGTACAAAAAGAATAATTTTAAGAAGTTGGAAAGAAAAAAGAAAAAGGAAAGAAAAATGATTTTAAGTAAAAGAAGAAGAAAAATGAAAGGAAAATGATTTTACGTAGGAAAGAAAAAAGAAGAAGAAAAAGGAAAGAAAAATGACAACTTTGAAAAGAAAAAAAAAGAAAAAAAAGAAAAAGAATTTGATTAAAAAAGTAAAATTTAACATTATTTTAAGCAAATCAAAAGAATTTGAAGAGTAAAAGGAAAAATTGTAAGAGACAACTTTAGAAATTACAAATTTTAAGGGAGACATTATATTGAAATTTCCATATATATATATACAAATAAGTTAAATATTAACTAAATATTGTAGTGGCGAGGGCAGGGGACGGGCACACACTGGCTCGAACTCTGCATTCATGCCCATTCTGAAAAGAAAAAAATAAGTTAAATATTAACTAAATATTGTAGTGGCGAGGGCAGGGGGCATGTGCCCCCCTTCGGGCACACAATGGCTCGAACTCTGCATTCATGCCCATTCTGAAAAGAAAAAAAGACATATCAAATATATTGCACAACTGTTTTTTTATTTAAAAAAAAAAAAAAAAAAAAAAAAAAACAAAAACAAAACAAAAAGAAATTCAAGTACTCATTTACCCATTAAAACTTGGCTGTAGATGGCACAACATAATTAATTTGAGGACTGAGGTAAACTTAGTTAGACATAATACACTTGTAAGCTGGCCTTACAATCACTATAAGAGAGTTTTTTTTTTTTTTTTTTTTTCGCGCTTGGTATGCTATAAAATAAGAGAGTTTCGTCAAGCTTTACACTAATTTTTTTGGTATGGTTATAAATGACCAGAGCTGAGTCAAGGTTTACACTATTCAAACTCAACTCGTTTGTTTGTAAGTTCAACTTGAATTTGGATGCGATTATTACAAGTTCAAAATCTTGAACTCGGCTCAATACACAATGATTTTGAAAAGTTCAGCCTCCCCTTGACTGAGCTCGACCCAACTTGTTTAATACAATAAAATGAATCAAGTTAGCTTAATCTCATATTCCTGCTCATGCTCAATTTGAGCTTATGTTTATGAAGTTACCGGCCAACAAACATTTTCAATCACTTTAGTTACCTAGATTACCTATTCTTCTCATCAGTGTAATTCCATACATGAAATTTTGCATTAAATATATAATAAAGTCTTATAAAATAACCCTTGAAGAATCACATAAGAAATTATAAGCATATTAATACATGTTTATAAAGATAGTTTTCGTTTATAAATATAAATAAGTCTACACGAATTTATGTCCATTAGCTTATACTTTTAGAACTCAATGTTATTCAAAATCTGCTCGTTCATAAGTTTTAGATTAACTTGCCTATTTAACGAAAGAAATTAAGTTATTATTAAGACCAAAATATTTTATTTATTTATTTTCTTTTGGCGAAAAATGAAGTGAAAAAATGGCATTTTGTCGAAATTATTGATTATGACAAAAAAAATGGCATTTGATTATGACAAAAAATGGCATTAGATTATGACAAGAAGTATATTTTTTTGTGACAAACATTTACCTCATAAAAGAATTTAAAAAAAAATAATAATAAGTAGTGAGGACAAAAACACACCTGTAAAAAGTTAGTAAAAGAAAAAGGAAAAGAGAATCAGTGTAGAGAAAAATTGCATTCCCGTGTTTGGTATGTGAAAGAGACTCTGTAGAGGAGGACAATATTACCAAGGCTGACTTGTTCTTGAAATCAATAAAAGTTAAAAAAGTGACGTTACCAATTTAACGTTTCCCCAACTTTTGTACAACTCGGATTACACATACATACATGTACCTACCTACCTTACCTAACCTTTGTACAATAAAAATCCTTCTCTATTTCAAAAATAAAAATCTGACCGTTGATCAGCCCAACCCCATCCACACAACTCAACTTGGCATCCTTTTTTGCAGGCACGCGATGTCAATATGGCACGTGTCATCCACTTGCCAGACACGCCTGACCCTAAATAGGTCCCACCTGCGGGGTATCCAAGATGAACCATCAACGATATATATCTATACTGTATATATATGTGTGTGTGTGTGTGTGTGTAAGTATGTATACAAATTTTGATTTCTGGTCCCGACCACGATCTCTTAATCCTCGTTCGACCCATATAACGGTCACGTTCTCGGGCGTCGCTACCTTTGAATTTCATTTAATTGCCGCCCATTTTGTACCATCAAGTATTTTATTGCTCCTTTTATTCCCTAATTACCCTCGTAACCCTTTGCATTGTTGTTGGGAATTGAATACTCCTATTATTATGTAGGGAGTATATGTTACTAGTATATCTTTATTTTGTAAATATTTAAAATTTAAATTTGTGATGTATAAATTATCTTTTTGGTATGTTGAAGAAAAATTAAGTTCCTTTAAGAATGATTTTTATTATTGTTAATGAAATCTTGAAACACAAAAGTAACTGAATTTATGTGTAAATTGTGTAATCAATATTTGGAATTAGACTTTTTCCGAAATTAGAGTTCAAAATACGAGTAGATAAATAAATGAAAGGGTTTGCAATGAAAACTGGATTCATGTGTAAATTGTGTAATCTATATTTGGAATTAGACTTTTTTCGAAATTAGAGTTCAATTTCATTTCAAACCCTTTCATCTATTTCTCTACTCGTATTTTGAACTCTAATTCAGTTATTGTGGAATATATTGGAATTTGAGAACCTTTAATAAAGGTATATTTGGCCGATTACAAAATTTAGTTTTTGATTTTTAAATATATTGGAAATGTGTTTTTATGGGATTTAAAAATAATACTTTTTGCCATTTGAAATTAATCCAATCCATTTTGAATATGATGCTAAATTCCTTATTTTGTGTGTGTGTGTGAGAGAGAGAAACTAGAATTGCCAAAGAGCCAATCAAATTATGTACTTGGAATTAAGGTTTTTTTCTATTTATAAAAAAAATCATTCACTCATTAAAGAGTTCAAAATGAAAAAAAATTTGTTAAAATGGTACATTTATATTTTGTTTTCACGAAAGATTCAAGATCTCGTAAAATAAATGAATGTGTGAATTTTTTATCCAGGAAAAAAAAAAATAAAACAATGAATTGGAAAAAAAGTCTATTATATTAAGGTCCCAATAATTTTGTGTTAATTTAAAATACGTGATCCTTTAGTTTAAAAAATAGGACTTCTCTAACGGCTAAAATTTGGGATCCCCACTCATTAACGGAAACAACTCTTTATAGTGAGAGATTAAATTTGACGAATCCTCAAACTTGCTGGTTCACTTCCCAACCCAATCAAATGAGTGGTAACAAAACTGCTTAGTTGTTCATGCATGTGACATATATATATATATATATATAATTGTGTGAATTAAAAATAGTAGTTTCACCCTTTGAGCTAAGACTATTTCCTTCCAATATGACGCATTATTTTAATTGAACTCTAAGTTTTCAATATTATCTTGGGTTAACTTTGATAAATGAGAATTATATAATTTCAATTCCATTTTAGAACAAATTAAACTAAAACTTTCAAATTCAAAATGCATCTTTCATGTTGACTCAATAACTTGTTGATAAATAATTTAGAACCAACTCGTTTAAAAATTGATTTAGGCTCATTCATTAATTAAAAATGAGCTCAGTTGAAAATTATTTTTTAGTTTAAATTCATTTAATAAATGAGTTAAATCACAAATATTATTAAGTTGACTTCATATCATCTTTTGAACATTGATTTGTGTAAGTTTATAAACCCTTCCTTTCAAAATATATATTCATTTTGGGATGTCCCGATAAACATGTCTCATTTTAAAATTATATGTACTATTTTTTATAGTATTGTCTTAACTAAATAATTGCACCTCAATAAGGGTATATTTGAAACTTTACATTTATTAATATAATAAAAAATTATTAAAACTTCAATATCATAAAAATTGGATTCTCCAAACAAATATATTTTGAAATATAGAAAGTACGTGTTTATCAACATAACAAAGATTTATTTTTAACAAAGACTTCTCATATTTGTAAAGGCTCTCATGAATCTATACTAATAAACACTAGTATAAACTTTTTACACTCGTAAAAGTTCATCGAACATGAATTTAAAATTTTCAAAATAATGAGGAGACTAGTAGAAAATAATTTTTTAAAATTCGATTTATGAGTTGAATGCACAATTGTAAATACTGTTTCAAAATGAATCAAGGAAGAGAGAGAGAGGGGAGGGTAACACGGTCATTATAAAAAGCTGCCAGGTATGCAAAACAGCAAAAAGTTGGTATGTGGTTGTTTATTCTAGAAATACTAATAAAATCATCATTTCCTTCTGCTAATAAAGTTTAATTAAACGATGAAAACGAACCACCCAAACAGTAATACACAATTTCACATTTTAAAATCAGATAAATATAGAAAGAGAAGAGAGAAGCAGAAGCAGAAACAGAAGAGAGAGAGGAGGGAGAATTCCGACGGAAACCAGAGTCACCTAACTCTGTTCCACAAGCAACTTTTATTCCTCTCCTGTATTCGAGCTGTGTCTGTGAAGCCCTAGGCATGGTGGCGTCTTCTTCAATCGCTTCGCAACAACGCTTCTAATACCTGTAAATAGCCCTAGAGTCACCGTTCACTCGCCGTCAAATGGCCGGTGAATCGCCGTCTCTCGCGGCGTCTGTCTCTGGCTTCGTTTCGATTTCGATCCCGGATCTCCCGGAACCCTACTTGAACATTGATCGAAGAACTAACAATTGAATCGACAAAAGTGAAATCTTTTTGTACATATTCGAATTTTTCCGGCACGAACAAGGTTTTATAATGGCCGCCGGAAAGGGATGCTTCGAGAAGCTTCGGAGATTCGTACGGACGGTGTATTTCATGGTGGCCATGGTGGCGTCGCTTCTGATTCTCTCGGCCCCTCTATTGGTAGCGATAGTTGATATATTGGTGCCTTGTGTGTTGATTTCGAGTTTCACATGCGTGAGATGTTACAGCTTCAAAGAACATTTGCGTAGATACGCTTTCAAGAGTTCGTTGACGGATATTCCCATGGTTTCGGTCATCAGATCTATTATAATCGCCTGTATGCTCTTCCATATCTCTGTTATTTCTTTATTGTTTTGATACTTTTCGATACTGGATTATGAAGGATTCAAACTAATTTACTCGTATATATAGGTTTTATGTAGACACAAAAAGTTTTTACGCATGTAGAACAATGAAGTGCATTTTTAGGTTTATCTCAGCAGCTTATATGCAAAGATCTTAGTGAAGTTTGTACTTCCACAAGATGCTCATGAGTTTTGCAAATTTTATATGTACATGTGCATGTGTGTTTATCTGTGAACTTCTCCATATGTTTCATTAGTTTGACATGGTGAAAAGCTTAGGAAAGGAAAGCAAAAGAAAAAATTAAGCTCTTTTGATTGGCATAAAATGACAACCTTATCTTCACTATGTTAAAAAGTTCTATGAGGCTCTGCTCGAGGCTTCAAAATTGCTGGTCACAAATAATAAAAATTCTTGTCAAATTTGAATTTAGATTTTGTAGTTATTTATTTTTCAATCTGTATACTCAACAATCAAACCGTGAATCAGTAGAAGTTGTAGGGAAAAAGGGACTTTGATGGACAGTCTTCACTTAATAGCTAAGAATCCTTCAGGTTCCATGCATAGTTGTTAAAGGCGCAGGGCTCATCAAGGCGAAGCCATGTGTTGTGTTCACTTTAGTGCTAGTTATATCTTTTACTTTTTTTTCAAAAGGACAAAAAAATAAAAGTAAAAGAAAAATCCTTCAATAACAGTAATGAACAAGTTAGTTCTTTCTGCACTGAGCTAATGGATTTTTACATGACAACAGGTGTTTATTCAATGTGTGATGGCCCTGCACTCTCACACGGGCCATATCTCGGAACTGTGACACTATGTTCTTTCATTTCAATTCTTCTTCTTTCGATCAAGGCTTGTGTTTTCACCGTCAATTCTCAAATTGAGGCTGAAGCTTCATCTTCTCTCTCAAGGCAGAAGCTCCATTTGAAGAAGTCATGGGGAATGCCTGTATTGTTTCTCTCATCTGTGGTTTTTGCCCTTGGCCATACTGTGGTTGCTTATAGAACAAGCTGTAGAGCACGGAGGAAACTCTTATTTCACCGAGTTGACACAGAAGCAGTAAGTTTGCGAAGTTTATTCCCCTTCTTTTATTATTATTTCATTAATCTTATATTATGAGTCCATAGGCACCATGAAAGCTCATCTTTAATTAAGAGTGCTATTTTTTGGAATTTAGCATATTTGTTAAGCAAAGAAAAATTAGTGTAAAAGTGTTGCCAGAATTCAGTATTTCAATTATTATGCGGCCATCAATTGGGTCAGTATGTTTATTATCTGCACAGTCGTTAAGTTGTTGATTGAGTTGGCATCACAAAATTGATTTGATTTGATTTTTATTTTTAAATTGCCTTTTTCTAGATTTCATCTTGAAATAGCTTCTACAGGGCTTGGGTAAGTAACCATCTATTGTATGCTATATTATTAATATCCATATCAAATTGACAGGTACTTTCCTGCAAAATTGTTTTCTCTGGCTACCAGAAGGTTCCGCGATCTCCTACTCCTTCTGTAGGAAAAACACCAAAAAGTGACAGTGAAATGAGGCGAAGACCTGCAGGGACAGCTCGTGAAGAAGCGGAACTCCCAGTTACATTACTTTCTGACATAGACAGCTTATTCATCACTTTGAAAGGGCTTACTTTACACTACAAGCTTAGCATGTCTGGTTCACCTTCTCGTTCCTTATCCTCAACAGCCTTTCTTGACAGGCCATCGTTAAAAGTTCTCTCAAAAACCCAACATCATCATTCAAGGAGCTTTAGCAATCAATTCCACACCTCCTCTTTATATGTTCCCTTATTAGATGGTTCTCCAACTTCTCCTGTAATGTCAGAAGAAATTCCTGTTTTGAGCTTAAATGATGTAGGTGATGAGGATAATGCAGGAAAATTGAAATCTGCATCTTTAGAGCGAGATTTAGAGGCAAATGGCCGGTGTGGCATTGTTTTAGTGCATGGGTTTGGAGGGGGAGTTTTCTCATGGAGGCATGTGATGGGTGTGCTGGCACGACAGGTGGGTTGCACGGTTGCTGCTTTCGATCGGCCTGGTTGGGGATTAACTTCGAGGCCACGACAGAAAGATTGGGAGGAAAACCAGTTGCCCAATCCTTACAAGCTTGAAACTCAGGTGATTTCCTTGCTTTTAAGCGTATGTTATTTGTTTTTTGTGTATAAGCTAGATGGAAAACAAAGTCAAACCTCTGGAGGTGTAGATCGTGAGGACATGTCCTCCTCCTCTTAAAAACTAACAATCAAAATGAAAGTGAATATAAGGTGGTGAGGTGGAAACACTAACAATAGTACCCACTATTAAAATCTTGCTATTTGCACTGTAACTGTTGATCCCAGGAGCTAGTTTTACTTGTCATCGTTTTATTGCTTTAAAGATTTGTTCCAATGGTTCTGAAAGTTAATCCCAATTTGCTTGCACTGGGAAATTTTATTTATATATTTAAAGTGGATGGGTTTTGGCGAAAAATCATTGGGCATTTAATAAGATTGCTGGCACTAACTTGTCTACTATACCCAACTTTTATTTATTGCAGCAATTGTTTTGATAACTCGTAAGTTTTGTCGTGAAAAACCATGAATTGATTTTATTTTTTCCTTTAAACTGCAATCATGATTTTGACGAGCCATCTCAGTTTGCAGTTCGTTTGTTCAGTGTAGAAGTGAACTAATCTGTTGATATTAAAGGCCAGAACATCCAATATTGGCATTACTAAATGAGTGCTCTCAATTGAGTTTTGTTTTCAGTCATATATTCTTGAGTAAATTTGAAGTAAAATAAATTGCCACTTCTTACTATTGATGATTGGCATTACACATTTTGCCAACCTGCACCAATAAAAAAAAAAAAAAAAATGATACAGCTCCAATGTATCAATATGGAAACAACAGTAAGCTCTTTTTGCTGTTGCCATGTTGTTTTGACTAGTTAACCAAGATTATGGCTGGGTATTATAGTGAACTATGTAGGGCTTCAAAATTTATCATTGCGGGGCATATCAAAAGTTGGCAGTCATTTTTTCTCATTACCATTGTTATTGATCATTGAGTAGTTTTGGGCTTCAATTCAATTGCTTCCTTACGGGTAAAGCTTTTGTGGGTATAATTTTTCGGTGGGCATTATTTTCATTCTATATGTGAGTGAACGAATCAGCCTATGTTTTAAAATATAATATTCGTGATTGGGTGCATTAGTCTCTTGCATTTTTACTTGAATTATTTTAATGATACATTAGATACATTTTGGATGCTTTGGTGAGATTATAGTAAGTTTTTGGTAATTGTCCTGATGGATTCCACTTTTAATCCTCAGTTCAATGCCATCATATGCCCGTAAGCATGGCTAGACAATTCAAGATTGACTCAAGGATAGGTCACTCAGACATAAGTATGTAATTGTTGAGGATTTATGTGTGTGTGTGAACTTGTTCTCATATACTCCGTATCTTTCTTTGTTTGATTATTATGTTTCAATCTTTTTATTATTATTTTTCTTTCTTTCTTTCGATTGAGCATATGGTTTATTCTTGTAAACTTAATAAGTTTAAGGTCAAGATTACACCTTGTTATGAGTATCTTGTTTTATTTGTTCTATTTCTCTGCATTCTTTTTGTTATACATTTTACATTTCTTTTGGTGTAAACCATGGCATGATGAAACCTTGTAGGTTGCTCTTAAGAACCAGTTAGACATCCTCTGAGCATTTTGTAATGCATAAATTTGTAATTTTGGCTTAGCTTCTCATATCCCTTCTTCTGATAACTTCTGTATTCTATATATAGTTTCCTGTATTGGAGTTTAATTTGAATATTGGTTTTGTTGGTATTGATATTTTCAGGTTGACCTGCTTCTTTCTTTCTGTTTGGAGATGGGATTTTCTTCGGTTATCCTTGTTGGTCATGATGACGGAGGCCTGCTTGCCTTGAAGGCTGCACAAAGAATCCAAGCATCAACAGATTCTGTCACTGTGAGTGAGCTTTGCTTGGTTTTATGTGCCAACTATAGACATATTTGATTAGTTGAATTATACTAGTACTATTCTGAATAGCCTTTTGAGTTTTATTATGATGATGGAGGTATTAAATGTAGGATCCCGTAGATCGGGTTTGGGTGGAAAGCAAATTGATCTTAAAAAAGAGAGTACCCATACTGAAAACCAATTCAACTTTGAGGTCACTTTTTCTTTCCCAGTGATGCTCACTTCTTCTTCCCCATTGACACTCACTTTTTCTTTCTTAATGGTGCTTCAAAGGAAATTGACCTAGTAGTAAATGAGGGTAAAAATTTGACATTTCCTATATAGGAATTAGCCCCTATTTTATAGGAGGTGCTTCAAAGGAAATTGACCTAATAGTAAATGAGGTAAAAAAATTGACATTTCCTATATAGGAATTAGCCCCTATTTTATAGGAGAATATGTGTGCACGGAGGACAACAAATGCACGCATCAAAATGACGTGGTTAAACAAAGATACTTCCATGTCATATGTGAATGTCCTTTGGTGAAAGGAAATGCGTCAAGCGGAACTTGTGGCAAATGTGTTTTGATAATGGAGAAAACCAAGAAAACTTCCCACAACTACACTCCCAATGGTGTGTAAAAGCGAATTTGTTCTAATCGGAAAATGAGGTCGAGATAAAGACTAAACATAAGCTATCCTCGGCTTATGTTTGTAACAATGGAGTTTGTCTTAAGACTCCATTCATTCTGGTTTAAAAATCTTAACCAAATAGTAGTATTAGGAAAACCAGTTTTACCTATGCTACAGCCAATGAAAATCACCTTTCGAGGAATAGATTCACGTCTTTCTGGAGAAAATTGTTCTTCTCTAATTTATTTATCCTCCCCAAGATAAATTAATAAGATTCCACGGATCACGAGTCTTCTTGTCTTGTGAGGCAATATGTTTTGAAATGGTGGAACCGGTTTACATATGGGCATATTTGTCTCTCCCCTGGATGAATCTAAGCGAGATAAATTATCTAGCTTAAAGCAATCACTAAAAAATTAGTATCCCAATATGTTTTGAAATGGTGGAACCGGTTTACATATGGGCATATTTGTCTCTCCCCTGGATGAATCTAAGCGAGATAAATTATCTAGCTTAAAGCAATCACTAAAAAATTAGTATCCTAATATTTTCAAATCGTATATAATAAACATATGGTATAAGTTCTCGGTTATGTCATTGCCTGAGTGTGTGCCCCTTCAATAATTTTATGAAAATTTGAAAGGTTCTTTTTCATTTTTTTTCCTGAATATTCTTTTTCTTATTTATATATTTACTATTGTTTTTTGCCATCATAGGTTGTAATCAAGGGAGTGGTTTTGCTTAGTGTAAGCTTGTCAAGAGAAGTGGTTCCTGCCTTTGCTAGAATACTTTTGCGTACTTTGCTTGGGAAGAAGCACTTGGTCCGTCCTCTACTTCGGACAGAAATTACTCAAGTGGTTAACCGGCGTGCATGGTATGATGCCGCCAAGCTAACAACAGAAGTTATAAGCCTGTACAAGGTATGACTGCTCATCCTTGAAACCACATCACACATTTCAGCATATGTATTGAGCACCTGCTCTGCTGCCTACTGCATAAGTAATTGTGCCAACAAATCCTGCATAAGATTTTAGGTAGTTGTCTTGGAAGTTTAGCAAAAAAATATACATGGGAAACAAAAACAAAATAAGGGAAATGGAAATGTTGGTTATATTTTACAATGGGGCTGCATCAATTGATTCTAGTTCATGATTTACTTCTTGAAAACACTGTTTAGATTACCACGGAGATGTTAAAAATTGTTCCTAGATGAATAAAAAGGGCTAGCCCAGTGCATGACGCACCATTGCGGGGACTGGGGAGGGTTAAATCTACGCAGTTTTACCTCCGCATGCAGAGAGGCAGTTTTCTAGATGAATCTAACTTTAAATTTGAACCTTTTACGATTCAAAGAAATAATACATCGAAGCTCTTCTTTCAGCAATTTGGTATATACGGCTTCTCCATTAGGATGGCAGAGAGAAGAGAGACTTGTTTTTGCCAGTTCTAGAGAATGGAGTTAATAATTAAGTTAATGGTATTGATCAATGGATTTGTTTGCCAATTTGATGGGTACAAGGGTAATGTTACATCTGAATTATGAGGAGCTAATTCCATACCCATTATCTAGCATATGTTGTGTCATTTCACCAAAACTTTCATTCTTGATTTTTCTCATGTGAAATGGTAGAAGGGAAATTCAGGCTCCCTTCCATTTTACTGTATCTTCCACCTCGAACCATCTATTAGAATGGCAAAGGATTCAGGAAACTGTTGCCATAATATTCTGCCACATCCTTGCAACTTAGTGCAGTTTAAATTTCTTTTGATTCTATCAGATTGTCTATCATGTATGTATACTGGACAATCTTAAAAGAAAAGGTATGATTCATGTTACTTATTGATCTATCAGTACTTTTAGCTACTTTAGCAACCGGCTAGTTCTTTGAGAGCCATTTATTCTATTTCTTGATTTTAGTAATATGCAAAAATGGTAAATAAGATCATCATCTCTGTGACAACTTTGGATTCTATTTGTATGGGACTCCAATGCAATATCATTTCTTTACTTCTATACATGTGGGCTGGAATGAAACAATAGTCATAAGTAGGGATGACTATTTCTCCCACCTGCCTCTTCCCTAGTGGAATGGGTATGGGAAGCTATTTTTTAAAATAGGGGGAGGCATGGGATTTGAGTATTAAACCTGAGTATGGGAATGGGAAGCTATTTTTTAAAATAGGGGGAGGCATGGGATTTGAGTATTAAACCCGAGTCGGGTTCCAAGCGGGATGTGTTTTTGTTTAACCTGCCCCGTTCCGATTATGTAACAGTATAACACTTGTACTCGTATTCTTACTCCCTCCATCCATAATTCTTGTCCATCATTCCATTTGGGGATGCCCCAAAATTCTTGTCCCTCAAATGTAAAAAATTACATACTTCCAAAAATATCCTCAAATGTGAATGCATGTCCCCTTGAGTAGTTGGAATTTCAAAGTTGGACAGCAATTTTGGGAGAGAGGGAGTATTAAATTTACTGAAAATACTCTTATATCTGTGTTATAGCAGAGGGTTAGGGTTCCCAATTTAACCACCCTTCACTCTTTAGACACCCATCATTGGCTCTCTCGCGATCTCACTCTTTAGACACCCTTCACTCTTTAGGCACCCAATTTAACCACCCTTCACTCTTTAGACACCCATCATCGGCTCTCTCACGATCTCACCCCACCCCCCCAACTTGCCTTTCACCAGTCACCCACCACTCAGCCTCAACCAAGGACCAAATAGGCGACTGTCTCTCTTTGTTGCGACTTTGATGCTGTAGAGCGGCAATTTGCATCAATCATGGGACCAAGATGATGTGTGACAATGATGTATTTTTATTTTATTTTATTTATAATTTTTTTCCCTTGATGTTTACAGAAAAGTATGTAAACAATAAACCCCACCCTTTTCATTCAATCTGGTCAAACAATGATGCTTATAATAGTTTTGATTATTTTTTTCGATAATTTGATTGGATTGTTCATTTTTCTTGCATAAATTTGTTGCCATCAGTATAAAAAAATTTCTTAATCAATTTAAAATCATTTGAATGCAAGTGTTCAGAGAATCAAGCATTTCGGCTGATATACATATACACACACATATATATATATATAAATCTGTTGGTTTTGTCTTGCGCATTCAATGCGATTGGGGTGGGGAGGGGTTTGCATGCATTGTCTATAAACGGGGATGGGATGGGAAAATAAAACCTGTCCTGGGTATGGGATATTGTATTTACTTAACGGGGTGGGATAGGGTTCAGAGAAACCTGTCCTGAACCTGCCCCGTTTCCATCCCTGGTCATAAGCAAGGTTTATGTCAGAATGTTGTATCACTCTCGTAACAAGAATTGTCAGTTAATTCGTTGTAAACGATTGTCATGAAGAACATGAGATAAAAGGGCAGCTTAAGTAAAAATGGTTGAATTTTCATTGACAATAGTCTTTTTTTTTTTTTCTTTCTAAAATCTTAAACTGATAGGGAGGGTTTAACTAAATATTATATCATCTAACATACTCTGTCATGCATGACTGGACTCTTCATCATGAGTTGGCCAACACGGTGTTGGTGATGTTTGAACTCATACCATGTTATACACCATATACATGATATATATATTTAATTAAATATATGTTTTTCTATTGTTATTGGGGTTCAATATGTTGACAATGTACTTGTTTTGACCAACTCTTGTATGGATCCAGGCCCCATTATATGTAGATGGTTGGGATGAAGCACTTCATGAGATCGGAAGATTATCTTTTGAGACTGTTCTCTCACCACAAAATGCGGCATCTTTGCTACAAGCAGTCGAGGGTTTGCCAGTTTTGATTATTGCAGGAGCTGAAGATGCCCTTGTCCCTCTAAAATCTGCTCAAGCTATGGCTTCAAAACTTGTAAATTCTGTAAGTGCATATCTAGCTGCGGCAAATTTACATTTCAGATTATGTTTTTTATTTTTTATTTTTTATCGTAGCTACTAGTTTTATGGACCAAATGACAGTCACTTTGAGATGGTATATGATTGAGATGAATAAATTCACTGAATGATAAATTGATACCACTGTACTTCTCAAAACTTGTGATAATCATCCATTTTGCCTGCTCATTTCGTGGTCCAAACAAGAAATTCCCTGTATCGTATAAAAGCTTCCTCAAATATATTTTGCAGAATGAAAAAGACCCGCTTGGTTCAATTTTCTAATATTTTGATGATTTATTGCCATGCAGAGACTGGTTGCAATATCTGGATGTGGGCATCTTCCACATGAGGAGTGCCCGAAGGCATTACTGGCAGCTATATCACCTTTTATAAGCAGACTGTTGTTAAAACCAGAGTTGCAGGACCAATAGTGTGCTTTGTTTTTAACTTTACAAATAGAGTTTTATCTGTTGTCCGGGGGCATTTCCTCTTTTCTTTTTCTTTTTTCTTTTTATCCTTTCCTTTTTTATGATTCGCCTGAAAAGAAAGAGTCCAATGTCATCTCTTCTCTTGGGTGTTTTTGATATGTTAGTTTGGGGCCTTAGAGTAACCCCAAAGCTCTGGGGTTTTAGAGCTCTCACATGTAATTTTTTTACTTTTTCCTATTGCCAAGGTCTATTTGAACATTTCTTGTTATTTTCCGCTCCAAGGATGTGGAAAATAACATATATTTTTGTACATTTTATCAGATTAGAAATGCATGCATTGAAGCATGGTTTGTTGCATGTCTATCAATCGCGCCTCTTTTTTATAGCATAATAGATAATTTGGGGTTATATGATGATATGATACCAATTATGGTTTTGATTATAGGAAGACCCCAGTGGTTTGATCAAGGTTGGTGATGGCGGCAGTGCTGTTAGCTACTAACATTGAATTCAAATGAGACGATGTGTGTATTTTACACGATGGTTTGGATTTTATATCAGCTTTTGAAGTTTAAAATCAAGAGATGCAAGACAGAATTGTTTATATGAACTATCTGAATGTAAAATTAAAAGGAAAGATGCAGTGTGATATATAAAGAGAATCCCAGCTGAACAAGTGAAGAAGAATAAATTGAGGGGTTGTTTTTTTTTTTTTTTTTTTTTTTTTTTTCAAAGTAAAAAATAAAAAGAACTATTTTTTTTTTTTTTTTTTTTAGGTGTATGGCAAAAGTGTAGGTTGAGGTCGAGTCCATAGGATGAGGCATGTAAAATAATTTGCCGAAAATTGATGACAACCAAACACCAAAAAATACTAAGCGTATATTTGGAAAAATATTTTAAGCGACAACCAAAAAACGAAACAACTTCTGTTGGAGACAAATTACATTTTTTTCAAGTATATAACACAACCCTATTTGTCCAGTTGGGAACTCAGCCCTCATCGTACACAAACCCTATTTGTCCAATTGGGGGGGAATCAACACCCAACACACACCTGCTATGTATCCCATTGGGGGACTCAAAACAAACACATCCATCGCTTGGGGAATCAGGCCTCAACACACACACACACACACACACACACACACACCTATTTGTTGTACCATTGGAAACTCAACAGTTAACTTCTCTCACACACACGCACGCACACAGGACACTAGCCGTGCGCACACAGCTACTCATCCCAAATGAGTACACTCAACGTTCAATTTTGAAACCACATACACAAATCAACTTATACAATGTCCTTAACAGTTCAATGTGCCTCTTAGATTGGCTAATTCATACGCCAGTCTGATACAAAATCGCATAAAACCACATACATTGAATAACTTAAAAAATAAACGTACATGTTCTCATCCTTCCAGGAATACAACAATTATAACTTATTTAATAATGCAAGCAATATGCCTTCTACAGAGCTTAAAAAGAAATGCATTACACATTATCAACAGACAGCCTTGAAGAAATCAAAACATTCTTCAATGCAGACAGTTCTTTGGCCCATATTGCAGCATTTAACAATTTTATGCTGAAAAATAAATCTGAGATATAGGAATCACCATTTCTCCAAGGCAGAGAATGGAGGAAAGCAGCCTCTCAACATAAGATTTCCAAAGTGCTTCTCTTACAATTTTTTTCAGGTTTAAGAACACAATTTAACAAAAGCCAAGGCAAACATGTTCTAAACTACTCCTTGGAAGACTTGTTGATAAGTGACTTGTGGATATGCGGGATAACTCCCCCACCAGCAATTGTTCCCTTGATTAGGGTATCAAGTTCTTCGTCCCCTCTGATTGCTAGCTGCAAATGCCTTGGTGTTATACGCTTCACCTTCAGATCCTTGCTAGCATTCCCTGCCAACTCCAGTACTTCTGCAGTCAGATACTCCAATATAGCTGCTGTATAAACAGCAGCAGTTGCTCCAACCCTCCCATTAGCGGAAACCCTAGTCTTCAGTAGACGATGAACCCGACCCACAGGGAACTGCAGTGAATTTTTAACAAAATGCCTTCTAATATGAGAACATGCAATTCATAGAAGCATAGAGCACTTAAACTCTTTGTTGGAGCATAGAGCAGCAGCAATCAAAAAACACAAGCATCACACGGTCACATGGGCGTGCACAGATAAATATTTGACCTCAATTTGGTGATTAAATGAAATTTATCAAGTAATATCAGTTTCTTGTGCACATTCACAAAGTTAAGAGGATTTTCTCTAATCATCTTACAGATTTCATAAACATCCCTAGAGGAAAGTGTCAATCGAGTGTGCACATTCACAAAGTTAAGAGGATTTTCTCTAATCATCTTACAGATATCATAAACATCCCTAGAAGAAAGTGTCAATTGAAAATCTGCAAAACCTACACCATAATAGCCAAAATAACCATTCTGTAAACTTGTAAAGGTCAAAACAAGATAGCTACTGTCACATCTAGTGATAAATACACACAGGACAGAAACTGTACTAATCAATTACACACCATCCAAATTACATTTATGTAAACGTGTAATACAGTAGTCAACCAATGTGTTTGGTCATGTTTAGGGTAATATGCTAAACTCCTCAACCCAAGGCAACCTATTAAAAAAACCCAATTAACTTCTTCCATCCCGACCTGCTTGCGATATTTTATTTGAAAAATGCAAGCAGTAATCAACCAAAATGAGAGCAAGAATGTCTGTGATATAACCATGGTCAAACTCATTCTATTTTTACACTTTACTCTTTCTATTATATAATAGCATATACATGCTCTTGGATATATAATGCACTATACAAAGAGCAAGCAGTAAAGAAAAACTAATTACTAGTCTCCAGAATCAGAAGAAATGTGACAAAAAAATGTCAGTTGTGTCATGGTCTATATGTGGTGTCACTTTAGTGGAAGGATTCGACGACTGAGCCAAAGGATTGCATGGACAACTTGTTTAAACCTTCATCAATCACAATATAAAGAAGGTAAGAGACCATAATGTTGGTTAGAAAACTTGGATTTTGAGTTTAAGCTAAAATCCAATTTAGAAGTTGATTTTGGTAATGAAAATTTGACCTCAATGTCTTTAAAAATAAAATATTTAGAATTTCATGATAATCTTTATATAGTTGGAAACTAGACTCAATAAGTTTTCCAATGATGTATCATATGCCTAATTTCGGGTTTGTTTGATTCCTCAATGAAACATCCGAAGTCAGACTGTGTAATCTAGTTTAGCAAAAAAGCTTGGTTAATCGAAGTAACACCAGAATAGATCAACTGAGAGCTCAATTGATTGAGAAAAACCCAAGGTGATACATTGCTAGATCAAACGAATGCCCAAAGTCGGTAAAAGGCACGTTTTCAAGTCCAAAAAGGTTTCTAAACTTCTGCAAAGTCATCCAAAACATTCCTAATCAATTTATAATCACTCCAACAATACACAAAAAATAATAATAATAAATAAATAAACAAGTGAGGCTCCCCATAGAATACCCAGTTATATTGTGTGATTGAGTTCAAAAGTAAGGAGCTTCATCGAAACAACCACACCTACGCATCAAAGGATTAATAAATGACTAGTTATTTAAAATCAATTCGCAGATCACATGCAGAGTGAAACTGTGTGTCTGGTGACTCTAAGGTGGTGTTTGAGAAAATTGAAAATTTTAAGCACTGAATTTTAAACGCTGAAATTTTAAGTGTTGAATGTATTAATCTGAAATCTTAATTTTAAGCGTTGAATTCATTAAGATTGTTTGCTAAATACAATAAAGTGAAATCTAAAAGTTGAACAGATTATATTTTTGCCCTCAATATCTAAGTACTCATCCCATTTTTTCTGTAGCTTAGTTCTTGGTGTCAGTCACTGGATCATCCCCATATCAACTATTTCCCATCAACAGTCCCATTGACTTTTATTTGTCAAAGATTAAGATTCACATTTTATTCTCAGCTAATATTTTCTTTATCTTGTCCCATGACTCTTTTCTAAGACGACTTTATTTGCTTCTTCAAGGCACAAATCTAAAAAGAGTATATAATTCAGGATCCGTCAAATTAGTTCCACTAGTGTCATTAGTAGCCATACCTAAAGAAATGTTTTGATTATTAAAAATAAATTAAATTATTGGCTAATGCAAACAATAGTGACATGCTAATGTGTAGTAAGAGCAAAGAATGAAAAATAATTAATGTAGATTACTGACGTAGCTAATTGCAGAGAGCAAAATGCATCTATGAACAACAAAAGATGGTTGGATCATGCCAATATAAATTATATGGAGAAGAAACTTGACATATATATCATCTAAGGATTAGTAAAATCTGAAAGTTGTTCTACTTCTCAAACCATAGAACTATCCACCTTCGCTAAAATATCCTACTAGCACCTACACTCAACCATTCCACCTAAATTCTATCCATCCACCAACACACTAACCATTCCAACAACAGTGATAAAAATTCTAGTCACTAATGTGTAATGGTGTGTTCAAATATGAGATCATCAAAATAATGTCAAATTTCTTAAATGCCAACAACAATGAAAAAAATTTAGTCAGTAAACATGTAATTGAAATTTTGTTCAAATACGAGAACATCAAAATAATGCCAAACTTCTAGGTATGTGGCCAACTCCCTTCTATCACATTCCTGATGATTAAATGGATGGAAACCCTGTATGACCACTGCACTGTGGCATATTAGAGAGGAATTTTAAGGAAGAAGTCCTAAACAGAGATGTGTTGAGAAAGTAACCCGTCAAAGATGAACGTCTACTGGACAATGATTATACAAGGGTAAAGTGGTGATTATAAAAATATATATAAAACCTTAACCACTGACCGTATCTTGCGATAAGCGACCCTCCTTACGCTTAAAATTTTGACATATTTTAAGTTGTGCGCAATTTTTTTGAGTGGTGCCATAAATTGTTACCAAACACACTTATTTTTTTAAAATCACTTAAATTGTTGAGTTATGAGCGCCGAATAAGTATGTTTCTAGTGGATAGCTGTTACAAGGGAAGTCTTGTTCCACATTGGATCTGGATGGGAAGTGAAATGGGTATAAAATGGGTTGGGAGTTAGCTCCACTTAATAGCTTAAGCTTTTGGGGCAGAATGCGAAGCACCCCGGCCCGTTACAATTGGCATCGGAGCCAAACCAGTCCTTGATCCAATGCCATGCCAATCGCCCGCAGAAGGCTTTCGAGTGAGCACCCTGGGTAGGCAATGTGGTTCGACCGCAACAACGGCGTTGCGAGTTCGGGTGGGGGAGAATGTTACAAGGGTAGTCTTGTCCCACATCGGATCCGGATGGGAAGTGAAATGGGTATAAATTGGTTGGGTGTTAACTCCACCTAATTGCTTAAGCTTTTGGTCGGACCGCGAAGCACCCGACCCGTAATAATAGCGTTATTTGATAATCTCATTCAACGCTTAAAACTGAACATATTAAGTAATTTTAGAAAATAAGCGTGTTTGGTAAGGTATCACTTAAAAAATTAAGCACCGCTTAAAATAAGTCAAAATTTCAAGCGAAAGAAGGGTGTGGTTTGTCACATAACACAGAAAGTGATAAAGGTTTTAAGTTTTTTTCTTTCTAATCACCAATTTACCCTCGCATAATGGTTGACGTAGTTCATCTTTTTGCATGTTACCTTCTCAACACGTTTCGCTTTTGCACCTTTCTGGCTTCTTCCTTAAAATTCCTCTCTGAACGTAACAAAGAAATGGTCATCCATTGGTGTCGTCCATTAATCGAAAGTGATAAAGGGTTAGTTTGATATTATTTTGATGTTCGCATATTTGAACAGACAATTACGCATTTATTGACTAGAATTTATTATTATTGTTGGAAATTAGGAGGGATGGTTATAGTTTTTGGACATTGGATGGAATTGTTGAGATGGTAGGTAACATTTGAAGGTAATAGGATATTTTAGAGAAGGTGGATATTTGTATGGCACGAGAAGTGGAACACTTTGTAGAAGGAAGAAAATTTTCTTTTCTTGTCTGGAGGAGTACTTTGTTGTGCAGATAGTAATCTACATTAATATTTTTTTATTCTTTGCTCTTACTACTCATTAGCATGTCACTATTGTTTGCATTAGCTACCAATTTATTTAATTTTTAATAATCCAAATATTTGTGTACGTATGGCTACTAATGATGCTAATAGAGCTAATTGGAAGGATCCGGAATTAAATAAACTTTTCTTAGATTTGTGCCTTAAAAAAGCACATAAAGGAAGTGTAGTGGAAGTCTTAAAAAGGAATCATGGGACAAAATAAAGAAAATATTAGCTGAAAAGTTACCCGTTAATCTTAATTAAAGACAAATGAAAAATCAATGGGACTATAAGAGGAAAATGTTATATGCGGATAAAGTTGATGAGAAATTCTGAATACGAGGATGATCGAGTTACTGATAACAAGAACTGGAGTTCAGAAAAATGGGATTACAACGTACAACTTTCAGTGTTCAAGTTTTGAATCTACAGGTTATCGAGGGTAGTAGTGTAATTTTAATAATTTTCAAATTTTAGTTTTTGTATTTAACAATCTTAATATATGCAGCCCTTAAAATTCAGGCATTATCAAACAGGTTTCCAGATTAATAAATTTAGCACTTAAAATGCAGTGTATAAAATTTTAGTGTTTAATTTTTAGTTTTATTAAACGCAACCTAAAGGTTCTAAAATTTGAAAACTGTTGACCTAGTGTAAATCTCTCTCTCATGGTGGATTTAATTTTCCTGAATTAGGTCTCATGAATCTTCTCTATTGGAATTTTCCATGTAAAACATTCTGTTCATGCTAGGGCTGCAAATGAACCAAGTTGTCCATGAATAGTTCAGGCTTAGAGTTCGTACATTAATTAAATGAACAAGGACAAGCTAATTTTTAGGCTTGCTTACGAGTCTGAGCAGCATTCAGCTTGGCTAGTCTAAGCCCGTGTACATAGCCCATAAGAAGCTTAGGAAGCTAATCAAATCTCCTAA